TCCAATTATTTTAGGGCATTAACTGGAACAATACAGTAACCCATAGATGCCACATTGCATGTATTAAGTACAGGGGAATACTCTTCCCACTGACCAGTAAAACTTATGGTGAGGGAGAGCTCAAGTGGCTCTGGGCCCCCATATTGCCCATTTTAGGCCAAGAATAAGTATAAGAAGGGAAGAGAGAACATGGGAACATATAGCTTCTAACTTGAATCCTGTTCTAGTATTTTATTTTTTAAAGATTTATTTATTTATTTGCAATCAGAGTTACACAGAGAGAGGAGAGGCAGAGGGAGACAGAGAGAGGGAGGGGAGAGGGGGAAAAAGGGGAGAGGGAGAGAGAGAGATCTTCCATCCGATTCACTCCCCAATTGGCTGCAATGGCTAGAGCTATGCCGATCTGAAGCCAGGAGCCAGGAGCCTCCTCCGGGTCTCCCATGCGGGTGCAGGGCCCCAAGGACTTGGGCAATCTTCTACAGCTTTCCCAGGCCACAGCAGAGAGCTGGATCAGAAGTGGAGCAGCCAGGTTTGGAACTGGCGCCCATATGGGATGTCACTGCACCACAGTGCCAGCCCCTTGTTTTAGAATTCCAAAAAGTGAGGATTTATCTAAGAAATAAAAACTATGAGTATCTTTTAAAAGATGATTGAACACTTACCAACAGATTTGAATGTTTGATTATTCTTAATTATTTTATACCTGTGTGCTGTTAAATTGCTTTCCCCCAAATCATATATATTTCAAACTTCAGTGTTTTAAAACCTATTTTGCCTGGTTTTACTGCCTTACTTTTACTGTTGCCCATTGCCCCTGCAAAGGGAATAGTGGCTGTGCTTGGCCTGAGATTCAGTACTACATGATAGAAACCACCCTCCTCTCCTCCTCAACTTATATATATGTAGGCTCCCAAGGGCATCTCCATCCCATCTTCCAGATGAACAATTAGGAATGTGATTGGCTTCCTGGATACGGAGATAATTTATGTTGGTCCTTCTTTACATCATGAAAGATTCTATATTAGGTGAACTTAAAAGCAATTTACACAAGTTCCTGATAATATATGTATGTATACAGACAACATCTTTATTGACAATGGGACAGTAAGAACAAATTGTTTATAGGTAACCAAAAACATTTGAAACGCACAACATTAAAGCTTTCAACATTTACGCTGGAGTACAAACATGCAGTCAAGTTGAACATCAGGCATAACGAGGACAAATACTGAAACACAAAGAGCCGTATTTCCCAGTGGAGTTTTACCAGTGGAGTTGAGTCCCTTCACGTTATATTGCAAACTTGTTTCTGGAGTCAGCAAATAGCTCCTGTTTAAGTCAGACCCACAAGGAAAAAAGCATGCTCCAGGAGATCTCAAGGAGGCTGTGCAGGGAACAGCAACAGAAAAGAAGCAAGAGCAGGAAGAAGTAAAGCTTCAACTCTGTGACAGGCCAGGGAGCAGGACGGTCATGGTCCTCAACAGGTAAAAAAAAAGGTGTGGAGAATACAATGATTCTCAACTTCCACAGGCTGATTCTTAGCCACATCATTTGACACACACACACACACACACACACACACACACACACAGGTTTCAAAAAGCTTTTGGGAAATCTGAATTATGAAAATTATTATGCATGGGTTTTGAAAAAACTTTTGCACCAAAATACATGTGCTTTTAATTCCACTGACTTTCTGAGACACTCTTTTATACAATTGTAGACATATGTACACACACACACACACACACACTCTGATGCTTAACTGCTTCATTCAGGAATAAATGTAGACAATGAAGGGGGAATTGGGAGCACTGCTCACATAAGTGGAAGGGGGGCTCCTCATGCTACTGTGCCAGATCCTTTAGATGCACCGTCCTATTTAATCTCATGACAACCTTATGAGAAAGGGATGATTTATTTCCATTTTACGAATAAAGAAACTGAGACTCAGGATAAGTTGCCTCCTAAGGTCACACAATTGCTAACTGGGGTTGGTAGATTTTAAGCTCAACTTTCAAACACCCATGTTGGGCGTGCATATTTTTGTTAGTTTAAATGTGGCCCCCAAATGAATTTCTTTTCACTGAACCATATGGTATATTTAAAACATTTTCACAGCTTCAATTCTCTCCACAACACATGGTAACATCCTAAGTTAGGAACATTTTGATGCATTTCCCATCTCTTTTATTTTCCTTTCACACAAACTCACACGGTTGTGTAATCTTAACAATAAACTAGAGGGACAGGGCTACTGTTATGGAGTAGTAACAACTCAGTGTTCATCTGCATTGCTCTGCTTACCAGTCTGGTACATGGAGATAACTTCAATGGCTTTCGTCCCTAGTGAAGGATTACTTCACCGTCACTACAACTTCTCCAATTTCTCTATTTTATCTGTCTCTACCTCACTTCTTGACAGATGCTCTAGCATAGGAGCAGCATTTTCTGTAGAGCCAGATAGTAAATATTTTAGGGACATACAATCGGCTGTTGACTGAATGTCCAAAATCCATACCCTGAAACCCAGTCAATACCTATGTGATGGTCTTTGTAGGTGGGGCCCTTGTGAATGAGATTAGTGTCCTTATAAGATGGGCCCCATTCTACCTAGTGAGGACACAGTGCAAGGGTGCCTTCCTACCAGGAAGTAGGCCTTCATCAGACCCCAAATCTGCGAATGCCTTGATCTTGGGACCTCTCAACTTCCAGAACTATGAGAACTATGTCTTGGCTGCTTATAAGCTACCCAGTTTTATTTTGTTAAAGTAGTCAGAAGACACAATTTCTGTTGCAGCTACTCGATTTTGCCACTGCAAGGAAAGGCAACCAAAGACAACATGTAAAGGAATGTGTGGCTGAGTTTCAATAAAATTTTATTTAGAGAAATTGACTGTAGGCCCAGGTTGATCTATGGGTCTGGGCTACAGCTATCTGCTCAAAACTATTAATATTGAATATTAAGGAGGTGAAAGAATTCCTTTTCCTATATTGTGATGAGTCAGCCATTATCCTACCCAAACCCTTCAGACCCAAGTCTTCCCTCCCAACTCAATCTCCTTCAATGTTTTTTGTTCATTCTACAATCTCTTTGTCAAGAGCCCTTTTGTTCTCATTGCCATCATTGCTAGATTTATATTCCATGCATCCCTAATGATAGTGCTCTTCACTATCCCTACTTCTTTAAACTATCTCCCTACTTTTCTTCCATCATAAAATAAGTTCCACTGAGAGGGAACTGTAGGTAACTGGGATAATGTGGAAGGGACAAGCGTACAGGCTGATTGATAATTGATCATGAAGGATAGGAGTTAGGAGAGAAGAAAGTAGAAATCTGTATTTTTCTATCATTTTACATAATTTTCTTTATACAGAACATATATATATAATAAAAATGGCATTTACATAGTGTTTTACTAGTTATTTGACCTTTTGCTTTTGTGTTTCCAATCCCACCACTGGTCTTGGTCACCCTTGTAACTTATGCTAACATATCACTGTGATTTCATGCCTTGTCCATCTTTAGAACTCTGAGATAAAGACCAACCAACACATGGAGAACAACAATAACAACAACAGGGTAAAAATTAAGGACAGAAAAACTGCTTTTCAGCTGCTTATCTCAGTGAGTTGCTCAGGACTGTCCTGTGACTATTTTCCATACCTGACAGGAATGCAGGAGCTGCTGTCTCACAGTTGCTTCAGTTCTTCTTGACTGGAACCTTAAGTATAATAACACATTGATCCAATCCACCAGCTTTCCAAACCCTCAATAGCCATGGGGTCTTTTCTCAAAGTGACACAGCACAATGTACACAATGCTAAATAACGTGGAGAAACAATGTTTCCTGGATATTTGTGGACATTAGAAAACCAAGGATTATTCAATGCCAAGGATAAACAAAGAGGGGCTTGATCAACACTTAAGATTCTGACCAACTCTGTCTTTCAGGCTAACTCCAGGAAAAAGTAGAAAATGAAGGTACATTTCTATAGACAGGGATAACAGTGCCTCAATCTATAATCAATATAACTCATATGACCATAGCTCAGAACCTGCTGTAAATACTTTGTTTATATTCATAAAAGTAGATAGCAACTTTTGGGAGATAGGAAGGAAATCCAAAAAACTTTCAACTCTTAGCTTATTTAGCTTTTTTGGATAATAGAAATTACATTTTCTGGAGAAATGATACCACCTGCATATCTGGATCTCTATTTTGGATTCAAAGAATAATAACTTGGTGAACTCTTCATGATAAGGATCTACTATAAGCTATCAACCTAACCTATCAAGTAAGAATTTCCTTTCCAAAGTGAGAAACTACAATAGGGCTCCAATATGACCAGGAGAAGGGAAAACAATTTCATAATTTATAATGCTACCTTCTCTGGGATTGCATGAATTTCCTTGGATGGGTATTTGAGAGGTTGAAGATTAAAATTTTGAGATTTCTGGTCAGAAGTTTTAATAAGCAAATCAATGGACATAAGGACCATCCTGTCTGTGGCTCAAAACTATGTATTATGTGAGTGAAATTAGATGTTTATATAAAATTAGTCCTCAAGTGCATACAATGGTTTACATCTAAACACTCAGGTACTTAACACAGTTATAAACCCAACTTACATTATTTCACATTCAGGGATGTTCCAGGGTTGTTCTTCATTGTGAATTCTTTGATGTCTGCTGAGGGATGAACTACACTTAAAGCTTTTCCCACATTCATTACCTCTAAAGGGCTTCTCTCCAGTGTGAGTTCTCTGGTGTTGAATAGGAGCTGATGAATGAATGAAGGCTTTTCCGCACTCTCTACATTCACAGGGTTTCTTTCCAATACGAATTCTTTGATGTTCAGCAAAATTTGAGCTCCTACTAAAGGTTTTGCCACATTCACTACACTCATAGGGTTTCTCTCCAGTATGAGTTCTCTGATGCTGAACAAGATGTGTGCTTTGACTAAAAGTTTTTCCACATTTGCTACATTCATATGGCTTTTCCCTGGTATGAACCCTCTGGTGCTTAGTAAGGGATGAACAGTGGCTAAAGGCTTTCCCACATTCTTGACATTTATAGGGTTTCTCTCCAGTATGAGTTCTTTGATGTTTAATGAGTGCTGATAAATGAAGGAACACTTTATCACATTCATTACACTCGGCTTAACTCCAGTATGAATCAACTGAGGTTGCACAAGATGTGTACTTCGGTTAAAACCCTTCCCACATTCGCTGTACTCATAAGGTCTTTCTCCAATGTGAATTCTCTGATGAACTGGAAGGGACAAGCTTTCTGTGAAGGTTTTCTTGCATTCGTTGCACTCAAAGAGAATTCTAGTATGAGTTCTCTGATGCTTTGTTAAATTAGCTCTGTGGCTAAAAGATTCCCCACATTCACTGCAGGTGTAAGGTTTCTCTCCAGTGTGGACTCTCTGGTGTCGAATAAGTACTGAATGGTAAGTGAAGGGTCCACCACAATCATTGCACTGATGAGGCTTTTTCTCTTTAAAAGTTCTCTGCTTTTTCATTAAGCTCAACTTCTGTTTCAATCTTTTATCAAGTGTATGAAAGGAAAAGGATCCTCTGGGAACTCTGTCTTGAGTGGCAAGAACAGACTTCTGACTGTAGTTCTCCCAGTAAACGTCATGTTCATGATCTGTTTCTTCAGGTAATGAATTCATGTGGGTGAACGTTTCTCTCAAGTGTCTCTCCTGACTTCCTTGCATATTCTCTAACCAACTGTCACATTCAAGAGCTGTTTCCAAGCCATTATTCTTTGTCAGTCTCTCTATTATTGCAACCTGGCAGGAATCTTCTTTGGAAAAATCTTGCACTGAAGTTGAATCCTTGCTCTTGGGTCTTGTCTCCATGTCTGAAAAACATTGGAAATGCAAATCCCCTTCATTTTATGTGCTCAACAGAAAGGCAATTCTGTAATAGGTAAAAGTTAATGAAGGTGAAAGGCATGCCTTCATGGAGTAAGTGGATCTGACTCATCAGATGATTTGTAAAGAGAAGCAAATGGAGGGAAACAAATACTCAGTATATGCAGAGAAAATGAGTATACTCCATCCAGTAGAGTCCCAAGAGGGAAAAGACATCCAGAAATATAGGTAAATGCGGGTTATGTATGAAGCAATATATCCACTTATGAGCAGACAATGAGTACATCAGGTCAGATGGGAGAAGTAACTTTTTATACAACACACATTGCTACAACAAATATCCAGGCAATTATCTCAGTATATAGTTATGACTTCTAAGTTCTCAGTTTTCCAATCTTGCCACATCCAAATATAAAACCCACTGCCAGTTTAATCTTCCTAACAATGCTTTTCTACTAAGCCCCTCATCATTTGAGCCATCACCTGCTGCCACCCCTCTAGCAGGAAGCTGGGATTAGGAGCACAGCTAGGATCTGAATCCAGGCTCTCTGATACAGGATGCAGGTGTCTTCACCACTAGGCCAAATGGCTGTCCTTGTATCTAATCTTTAATCAATTACCTCCTGCTTTATTAGAGAGTCTTAGAGCAGAAAAGTCATAATTTTCTTTTTTTTTTTTCTTTTTTGACAGGCAGAGTGGACAGTGAGAGAGAGAGACAGTAAGGTCTTCCTTTGCCATTGGTTCACCCTCCAATGGCCGCCGCAGCCGGCATGCTATGGCTGGTGCACCATGCTGATCCGATGGCAGGATCCAGGTACTTATCCTAGTCTCCCATGGGGTGCAGGGCCCAAGTACTCAGACCATCCTCCACTGCACTCCCTGGCCACAGCAGACAGCTGGCCTGGAAGAGGGGCAACCTGGACAGAATCCGGCGCCCCAACTGGGACTAGAAGCCAGTGTGCCGGCGCAGCAAGGCGGAGGATTAGCCTAGTGAGCCACGGCGCCGGCCCAAAAGTCCTAATTTTATCTGACAAGGATTGTAAATGTAAAACACTTCTCCCTTTTCCAACTATCTATCTAGGTAATAATGGATTTTCTTCATACACTTAAACTAGAACAGCATATCACAGGTGCTGGCACTGTGACACAATGGGTTAGGATGCGGCCTGTGATGCCAGCTTATCATATCTGAGTGCTGGTTAGGATCCCAGTTGCTCAGCTTCCAATCCAGCTCCCAGCTAATGTGCTTGGGATAGCAGTGGAGGGTAGCTCAAGTACTTGGGCCCCTGACACCCAAGTGGGAAACCTAGATAGAACTCCCGGCTTCTGGTTTCAGCCTGGACTAGCTACAGCCATTGTGACCATCTGTGCAGTTAAAGCAACAGATGGAAGATCTCCCTCCCCTTCTCCTCCTTCAAATAAATAAATCTTTAAAAAACAAACATAAAAAAACAACATATCACAAAAAAACTGCATTCAGAAGCAACTATCAGAATAATTATCTTTGATGAAGCCATATTTTGGAGAGATTTGCAGAAATGTGAAAAAAAAAAAAAGAAATCCTGTATAGGTATTGATTTGAGTCCCGGCTGCTCCACTTCTGATCCAGCTCCCTGCTAATGAACCTGTGAAAGTAGCAGAGGATGGCCCAAGTCCTTGGGCCTCTGTACTCACATGGGAGACCTGGAAGAAGCTCCAGGCTCCTGGCTTTGGACAGGGCCAGCCCCAGTCATTATGGACATTTGGGAAGTAAACTAACAGATGTAAGATCTCTCTCTTTCTCTGTAACTCTGCCCTCCAATAAAATAAATCTTTTTAAAAAAATCAAGAAAACTATAAAAATCCACCACTCTTAGGTAACATATTTTTGTTTATGAAGTCTTCTTATAAAAATTGTAATGCAGCAGAGGGTAATGGGTTTATAATTATTTTAAAATTAATAGCTCATTTTTGCTCAGTCTTAATTTTTTTAAATAATTCCTCCTTTTTTGATTTATTTATTTACTTGAGAGGCATAACTACAGACAGAGAGAGGGAGAGACAGAGAGAGCAAGTTATCTTCCATTCACTGGTTCACTCCCCAAATGGCTGCAATGGCTGGAGCTGGGCCAGGCTGAAATCAGGAGCCAGAAGTTACATCCTGATCACGCACGTGGGTGCAGGGGCCCAAGCAGTTGCGCCATCCTCCACTGCCATCCCAGGCCATAGCAGAGAGCTGGATCAGAAGTAGAGCAGCCAGGACTAGAACCAGTGGCCATATGAGATGCAGTCACCGCACGTGGATGCTTAACCTACTGTGCCACAAAGCTGGCCCCTCAGTTATAATTTCTAATGTGGTAAATTTTGGTAGATATCACCTGTATGGACAAAAGCTCTTTACAGTCTTCAATAATTTTTAGTTACACTAGGTCTTTGGATGCGAAAACATTCAAGAGCTGCTAAGACACAGCCTGGAGAAGGAGGGAAAACAGGTGAGATAAAAATGTCGAAGTGAGTAAAAGCAGAGTTTTACAAGATTTTGTCAACCTCAAGGATTCTGGTCATTAAGCCAAAGGGTGTGAGAATCCCTGAAGTGTTTGGAGCAAAGGGATAACTTGATTTGACTTGATTTTGAAAACATCACTCTCAGTACGATGTAGAGAATGGAGTGCATGGGGCAAAGGCAGAATTGGGAGATTTATCATAACCGTTCAGGCAAACAACAGGCATGTGGGTGTTAACAGTGCATGAGTATTCGCTAATTACAGTAAAATGTAATTAAGTAAATGTGTTCATGCATAAAGGAGAGGAGGAAATGTAAAAACTGTCCACAGAGTTCTGGCATGTACAATTTGATGAGGCAGGGAGTATCTAGGAAAGAAGCTGCCTCCTCTCTCTGGCCCTCAACATGGGAAGATGTAAGTCAGCCTAAACCTGTTTGTAGCCAGTGCTCGAGGAAAAGTGTGCTTGAGAGCAAAACCCACGGAGAAAAAGAAAGCTTTGGGAAATAAAGCTTTGGGAAATGAAGAGAACAGGTTTTAATGTTATTTCTTGGGCCCCACATCTGGCCAGACCTCAATTTTTCAATAACATTTTAGTCAATAAATACCTCTCTTTGCTTAAGCCAGTTTTTTTTCCATCAGCTCCAACCGACTAATAAAGTCTTCAAGACTAATGTAAGGTGGCTGAGAAGCCAATGGAAGACAGCAAGTATATAAAGGACTGCAAAGTCACTTGTATACACACTGCCAATGTCTAATAATTACTGTGTATGCCCTGAATCATAGTGGCCGAGAGAAAGGCGGAGGAATCTTTGGGTTGTGGCACTCCACACACAACAGGGACAGCTCCCTTTCTCCTCCCCAGCTCCTTCAAATAAAACTTTTCAGAACATATAAACTTGAAAGATAAACACAATGATCACCCATATGGTATGACTACCACCTAAATTCAGCAATTTAAAAAAATATATATTTATTTAAAAGGCAGAGCAATAGGGAGAATGAGAGAGAGGACGAGGGAGTGGAGGGGAGAGAGAGTGAGAGCGAGAGAGATCGATCCTCCATTCACTGGTTAACTCCTGAAATGTCTACAACAGCCAATGCTGAGCCAGGAATTCTATCCAGGTCTCCCATGTCGGTGGCAGTGGCCCAAGCACCATCAGCAGGAAGCTGGACCAGAAGTGGAGCAGCCAGGACTCAAACTAGCACTCGGATACGTGATGCTCATGTCAGAAGTGGAAGCTTAATCCACTGTGTCATAATGTTAGCCCCAACAATTCTTAATATTAGCTATTCTGGCCCTTTGTGGGGAAGGGTGATAACTTAAAAGTTGCAGACAACAATGAATATGGATGGAAAAGAGAGGTACCATGGGTAAGTAGGAGACATTTTCTACTGAGCCCTTTGTAATCTAGAACTGAGCTCTCTCTAGAGTGGCTCTAGTGTCACAAAGGAATGCACCTGTACTTTGAGAAGTAAGGTGGGATTTCCGCAACCATTAGCGCTCACACTCACCTGGGACCCGGCTGTGAGGCGCAGAGCTGCCACTTCACCTTCGTCTGCACTCCTTTGAGAGCTAAGGGCAAGGAAGCAGTAATGATGTGGCCTCCGCCGCTCTTGTCCTCAGAACTGCAAGTCTAAAAATCCTGCTTCCACACAAACTGTGCTCCCTACAAACACTGAGACTGAGGGGAGCCCAAGTCAACCCACTGCCTCGCAAGACCATGGACAGTGTCTGTGAATATTGCTACTTGATGTTTATATTTGAACACATTCTAGAAGGTGGCACTCTCAGATCCAGAAATTAGAATACATCAGTTCCTTTTGTTGGAGAAGTAGGCTCCATGGCCCTCTAAAATTATCCCACATGCTTATTTAAAATGTAGACTGCTGGAGCCGGCACTGTGGCAGATTAAGTAAAGCCACCACCTGCAGTGCCGGCATCCCAGTTGGACACCAGTTTGAGTCCTGACTGCTCAACTTCCAATCCAGCTCTCTGCTATGGCCTGGGAAAGCAGTAGAGATGGCCTAAGTCTTTGGGCCCCTGAACCCACATGGACACCTGGAGGAAGCTCCTGACTCCTGGCTTCCAATTGGTGCAGCTCCAGCTGTTGCACCCACTTTGGGGGGGGGGTGAACCAATGGATGGAAGACCTCTCTCTCTCTGCCTTTACCTCCCTGTAACTCTGCCTTTCAAAGAAATAAATCTTTTTTTTTTTTTGACAGGCAGAGTGGACAGTGAGAGGAGAGAGAGAGACAGAGAGAAAGGTCTTCCTTTGCCATTGGTTCACCCTCCAATGGCCGCCGCGGCCGGCGCGCTGCGGCCGGCGCACCGCGCTGATCCGATGGCAGGAGCCAGGTGCTTCTCCTGGTCTCCCATGGGGTGCAGGGCCCAAGTACTTGGGCCATCCTCCACTGCACTCCCTAGCCACAGCAGAGAGCTGGCCTGGAAGAGGGGCAACCGGGACAGAATCCGGCGCCCCAACCGGGACTAGAACCCGGTGTGC